TACAGCTCATGTACTTTCTGTGCTGCTGTATAGTGATCCCAGAGCACATCGGAGCCATCTCCACGGCGAATGATATTCCCTGAAGCTTAATTCTTGTAAATGAACAGGTGTATTTCTCTGGCTTGATTCTAGATATATTCTAGAGTTCCAGAAGTGGCTAATAAGTATTGTTGCGTGCTTGAACGCGTGTTACTTCTCGAGGTTAGTCTCGAGGACTCTTCTCAAGTCCCAAATCTTATGAGTAACATACCAAATGTTGCTAAGAGTCTAGGGAATCTACGATCTACAAAGTATAGCGACAACTTTTTGAAAAAGTACCTGGAAAATGTCTAATTTATTTCAAAAGTGGCAAGTGTTATATAGAAAATAGAGAAAGTGGCAGATTCGCCGGAGAGATGTCGACTAGCGCTCTTTCAAGGGCTTGTTAAATGAGTTGTATAAGTCCAATCGGGAAGTTTTTGGTAGATAAATGTTGCCAAGAATTAGGGCTACAATTCTCTAAATAAGACTTGACACTTCTAAAATATCTTAGACATTTCTCTTTTTTCTCTTTCTCTGACTTTTTTGAAAAGCACAAGAATCGTAAAATCTTTCACAGTGATTGAGTCAAAAATTCATGCATATACCGTATTTTCTCTAATAGTAGTGCACCCGGGCGAGCCGAGTTGGTGACTATTTTACGATTTCCAAGCTTTTGCAGAAGCTCAACACTCTAATCCCCCAGAAGATCTCATCGTCAGCTACATTTTCCGACCCCACATCGATAGGTTCTGATAAACGCTTTTCAAGATTTCGAGGAATTTAGGCGACGCTCTGGATGCATTACTACAGAAAATACGGTGTTTAGTTTCTCTAGCAACTTTTGGTATGTTACTTATGGGATTTGGAACTAACCTCGAGGGGTAACACGCTTTCAAACACGCGACAATACTTATTACCCAGTCTATCTTCACCAAACTTTAAGAACTCCAATCCTATATATTTTGGTGCTATTCTAGATCAACCCTTACGCGTCTAGATCTTTTATTTATCCTAAAGTCTCGAGTATAAGTTCATCCGAGTATAAGTTCTGCCTTAATTTACATTCGCTTTAATTGCTTTGAATTTCTTTTTGTTGGGTTTTTATACATTTTTATTGTTATATAAACTTTTATTATTGTTCTTGGAGCGCGGGATACTACAGGGTGACAGCCTATCACCATTGCTATTTGTTATGTGCATGGATACATCCAGACGATAGTGTTGAACAAGACGCTGGAAAGCATCTCTTTCGACCGTCGACGTGGACTTTGGCCGGATGAAGAGGCCAGGGAGGGCCATGAAGAGGCCAGGGAGGGATCCATAAGACTGAGCACCGGAGAGGAGCAGGGCGGACGCGCCGAGCCACGTCCGGAGCAACAAATAACAGCATAAAATTGCTATAACCCTCAATAAATTTACTTCTATTATTGTTCTTAAAAAGCAAAAAAGTTATGCTGCAGCGGGGTTCGAACCCTCGACACACCGCACCGGAGACAGCCGCCAATTTGCATGCGAAAACCAAACAGAACTTATACTCGCGAGTTTAGGGTACTTTGATTTTTGTCATGAACCAGACTTTAAACATTTCAAAAAATTTGGCCTATAATGTCAAACACATTAAAACTATTAGGTTGGCCCATAAGTTTTGGTAACAGTTTTGTTTAAAAATTTATTTACAACCAAACAAGCTGTTTACTCGCGAAATAGTTTCCATTATTTTGGATAACCTTCGCCCATTTTGTTGAAAGTTGGCGAATTCCTCTCTCATAGAAAATTTTTGTTTTCGACTCGAAATAGTTTTGGAGACTTTTTAAGGTCGTCTTGCTCCTCATCCAGAGTCTTGCATTGACTGGGAAAGATGATAATCCGATGGGGCAAAGTCTGGAGAATAAGGAGGGTGAGGTAAGACTTTCCAGTCCGAGTGATTGTGGCGCGAGTGAGTTTCGCCGTATTTGGGCGGACATTGTCGTGAAGAAGGATGATCTTTTTCAATTCAGATCGTTTTTCTTGACTCTTCTTTTGCTTTTGTAGCTGATTCCTGTATAATAAAGCATTACAGTCTGCTTATTTTCAAGAAGTTTCCAGTAAATGACTCCTTTGAGATCCCACCAAACTAATAGCATAAACTTCTTTTGGTCGAGGTCAGCGAGGATATCCTTGGCAGCTGTAACTCCAGGCTTAGGCTTTGACTTTGAAAGTCTGCGGTGAGAATCCACTTCTCGTCTCCTGTCACTAAGCACTAAAAGATTTGCGTTCATGTCTCGAAAGTAGCGCAGTTGAAATTGATGATCTTCGCCCTTTCATAGTGTTCGTAAGGGTATGAGGTACCTATTGACCAAAAATTGACTTAAAACCCAGATCATGAAGGTGTCTTTCAATTGTTGAACGTGAATGCCCAATCACATTCGCTATTTCACGAGTAGAAATCCGAGGGGTTTCTTGAATTTTTTGAAGAATCTCTCCATTTTTCCATTGAGAAGATCTTCCCGCACGTTCTTCGTCTTCAAGGGAATTCTCACCGTTTTTGAACTTACATTTCTGAACTTATATTTCTGAAACCAACGTTGAATTGTGTTTTGCGAAGGAGCGTCATTGCCATACACGTTTTCAATATTATTGCCACCGACAATGCTACCTATAATGCTACCGATAATGCTACCGACAATGCTATCGACAATGCCAGCCACAATGCTACCGACAATGCTATCGACAATGCTACCGACAATGCTACCGACAATGCTATCGACAAAGAAGATCCTTTTTTGAACTCGTACAACATAAAGTTTCTCAGATGTTCTAGTGGAAGATCTGGGGTAGCCTTTGAACAAAAAAACCAATAAACAAAATAGAAGAAGCATTAGAGTCTGCGTATCAAATGTTTTGAAATTGAATAAAAATGTTTTGAATTGTTGAATTGTTGAATTGAATGTTTTGAATTGATAAGCCGAGTTTTTGGATGCAAACAGAACGGGAAAGTCGAGCGCATAAACAATTATTCCGAAAGAACAAAGTGTTACCAAGACTTATGAGCCATTCTAATAATATCAGAAATATTTCCGACCTTCTCGATCCCTTAACGGTCTCGTCTTTCCGGCAGCTTTTGGTCGTCGTTTCGCGCGTTGTGACGAACTTTGCGTGATCTCGCTGAAATGAAGAAATGATTTATCTTTCACTCAATCCACCCAACAAAATTCCCATTTTCTTGAGAAATTGAGTGTGTCTCTTTTTCAATTCCCTTCTTTCCTCTTCTACCCACATCTAAAGCTAAAACTTCATTGACTCGAGAACGTCCTCCTCCTTTTTTTTAAGACGAAACTCTTTTCGCTCAAAAAATAAATTGGACGTTTTTCTCTTAACTTCACTCAATTGGATGTTTTCTAGATTTGTACATCAAGAAAAGTTTGAAGAGCTATAAATTCTTAAAATTAGTCCCCTTTATGCAAAGTTCTCTATGCAAAGTTCTGAAAAAAGGGTTTGAGTGAAGGATTTTTTGTTGGGAAAGCTTTCTCAAGCACTAAGCTTTTGATTCCGGTTGAGGAATCGAAATGATGATATTATGGCTCCACGCTTTTTTTCACATTTCGACCTTTTTATAAACCCATTTCAAGTTTATCGTCTAGTCATTCGCCAAAGTAAGGTAGGTAGATTAAAAAGAAAACTTTGTAGAAAAGAACGCTTTCCTCATATGTAGTAAAAGCAGTAGAACGGGTTTTTGAGTGCTGATACAAGTAGTAAAGCAGTAGTAAAGGCAGCAAGTAGTAAAGCAGATAAAGGAATTTACAAAACTACGGTAACCTTTCTTGAATCGAACGCTTTAGAAAGCGCATTCATCATGAAGAACACACTCTAATCTCGTAGAATTTTAAACCAATCACTCACCCATCAAATTCTTCGGGTGTAGGTGATGGCAACCCGGGTGATTGTGAATCTCGTTCTCCTTCTTTTCCCACTCCTCTCATCCCATTTTCATTCCTTCCTTTTTCTCCTTGTTTATCGTCTTCTCGATTTTTCCACCCATCACCATTCCATAAAGTTTCATCTAAAAACGACCGATAACGATAAAAACGATAAAACTAACGATAAAAACTAATGTCTAAAAACTAAAGATGCATAAATTTTCTCTAAAGAAACTAAACAACACATTTTTTTTCAACTTCTGCTTATTCACATATCGTAGTTTTGTAAATCGAAACCCTTCAATGCTAATGAGCCATTTTTTTTACATTATCTCGAGTTTAGATTACATATTTTCTGTGTATTTCTGTGTATTTCCCTCATTGCTATAGAATTTCAAAGGATTGTTAGTTATTCTCCACATAGTGAGTCAAATTTCGATGTTTATTAGTTGAGAGAGGGGGTGTTTGTAAAAAAAAAGGAAAGAAGAATCATCTATTGAGCAAAGAAAAAGGCTTAAGAATTAGAGAGGCTTTCTGGAGATGAAAAAAGAGAAGGAGGAGTGGCTGTGGCTGAAGATGAAGATGAAATGGGTGTAGAATTGAGGGAAGAGCTCGATTTGTACATAAGTTAAAGAAAATAACAAGAATTCTTGCTGAGTCTGCTTGAGTTTAGAGCTTTGAGTGGACACCATCCATTATATGATTTGATTTGGAGATGCATTCTGGAGCATTATTCATTCACAGCTTATTCTGGAGATGCAAAAATGATTCTAGAGCTCAAATCTAGCAAGGATGGCTCTGGTGTTTGCTTCGTTTTGAAGGCGTGGCACAAGCTTCGCGTGACACAATCTTCGCTTTTGGTTTTATGGCACAAAATTCGCCTTTAACAAGCTTCATAGTCCCGTTATCAGGGTTGCTCTAAATGCAATTTTACCCGGATCGGTCAGGCAAGGACAGAAGCCTGGATTCTGTCTGCTTTGGCTGGCTTTACTGCAATTTAGCCTCCCTGGTTCAGGTCAGGCTTGTAGCTGGCTTCTGGTCAGGCTTGTAGCTGTCTTCTGGTCAGGCTTGTAGCTGGCTTCTGGTCAGGCTTGTAGCTGTCTTCTGGTCAGGCTTGTAGTTGGCTTCTGGTCAGGCTTGTAGCTGGCTTGTAGCTGGCTTCTGGTCAGGCTTGTAGCTGGCTTCTGGTCAGGCTTGTAGCTGGCTTCTGGTCAGGACTTGTAGCTGGCTTCTGGTCAGGCTTGTAGCTGGCTTGTAGCTGGCTTGTAGCTGGCTTCTGGTCAGGCTTGTAGTTGGCTTCTGGTCAGGCTTGTAGCTGGCTTGTAGCTGGTTTGTAGCTGGCTTCTGGTCAGGTTCTTCATGGTTTGACTTGTTCTTGCCAGGCTCCTGTCTGCCCTGGTTTTACTGCAGACCTAGTACAAGTACCTGAGTCGCCAGATGTTTGCTGTAGTGATACAAGAGAGTAGGACTTTAGTTCAATTCAGTAGTTAAGTTCAATTAAGTAGTTAAGTTCAATTCTAGGTTTTACTAAGTTCAATTCTAGGTTTACCAACAAAATACCAAGATTTCCCAAAAGTGAAATGCTTCCAATTCTCGGAAACATCCAAATATTTGAGGCTTTTCTTTTCTTTTGTCATTTCTCATCATTCGAAATCTACCGGTCCCCTGAGAGACCAAATTTCTTTTTTTCGCGACAATTTTCCGAGAAATTCGCGAGAAATCTGTCTCATTTTATTTCATTTCATTTTTCAGCAGCACGTGTGCTTTCAGTTTTTCTTTTTGTGCAGAAATCTTTAAAATTAATTATTGTAATAAAATAACCATCAATTTTTCGATCCTCAATTTTCCGATTCCCTTTGGTGTCTCCTGTCCTTACTGATTGTTCGATTTGATCAACGGGAAGCTCGATTGGCCGTTTTGCTCTGAAAACTCTATCAAAAGACTCTGTCAAAAGTTAAAATATCAATTAAATCATTTAAATTACAAATTTTTAGATAGTCAAAATATTTCTGATGCTTTTCTATGGACATTTGGCTTCACCATGAACGACATCAACGCAATCGAAATCACAAAGTCAAACGAACAACAGCGGTGCGTTAAATTCAGTCTTTTACTTATTTTTTTGGCAAAGTTTTGCAATTCTATTCATTCAAAAGCTCACTTTTTCGATTTTGGTCGATTCTCATGAAAATTAGAGGGTAAAATCGGCGCAAAAACAACCGATTTGTGCCCGTCATTGGGCGTTTGCTGAATCGTCGAATCTTCAAAGTTTATTGGCAAAATCATAGCATTCGGATCTCGATTCTCATCTCCTCTAAATCCATTTTAAGCCCTTTCCTTAGCATTTCCATCAAACTTTTCTTGTCTCACATAAATCGGTCTTCCGCAAATATTAAAATAGCAAACGAGTAGAAACCAGCCAAATAACAGAATCGCTATCCCTGCACCAGCAATGCACACTAAATTTTAAGATCAAAGGATCTTGCTGACAAGGGAAAGGCACTAAGTGAAGCAGGCCTTTTGACTCAAGACCAAGTCCATCTTATAGAATCAGCCAGGGATCTTGAATCCGTTTTTAATTTTTGCAGAACACGAGATATCTAAATTTCTAGATTCTAAATCAAACGTCCGATCTAGAGTGAAGTGAGGTTGGACGTCCAATCAAGAATCAAGCCAATCACTCAAAATCAGACGTCCGATCCAGACTTGATTCGTGTCCAACCTAGGTCGTACGTCCGGCCTCACTCTAGATCTTTAGATCAGACAGATTTCTAGATCAGACGGATTTCTAGATCTGGACGTAACATATTAGGTTGGCAAGAAAGTTGGTAGAAAAAGTTTTGGTGTCAATGGAAAAGTTGTAGAGAATCAAAAATGAGGCTTATAGCCAAATTTCCAAAAAGATACACCTAGTAGTTTCGCTTAAAATGCAAGTTTTGTTGCAAGTTTTGTGAAAATTCGTAAATTTGGCATTTCTTGAAAACCAGTTTTTGAATCGTTCTGAAAATTTGGATATAAGCTTGATTTTTGATTCTCTACAACTTCTCCATTGACACCAAAATGGGTTTCTTTTGAAGAAAGTGCTCAAACTGTCACATGTGACAATAGCCGGCAGTTTTCAATTCACCAACTCAATATATCTCGCTTTTGCGAAGCGTTCTTCAAAAACTAAAAACGCATTCGAGAACTCTATAAGATGGACTTGTTCTCGAGTCAAAAGGTCAGCTTGACTGTGTCTTTCCCTTGTAACGCTCGATCTCTAGTGTCAATTACCTATCAACCACCATTTGTTCGCGTGCTCCTCTTCAAGTAGTTTTTCGGCTAAAGCAACATATTCTATGCTCAATTGGTATTGCCTTACTTTTCAATTTTTCAAGTGGGTAATGCAAGACGGCTGAGACATGTTGTGGGGTTAATTGAGCCATGTCATTGATCACAATCTGAATTCTAGATTGTTACCCTAAATATTGTTACCCTGAATAGGATATCGCTTTTAGCACATTCACGACGATACGGCTCACTGGTTGGCCGTACTAATCACGAATATTTTTGGTGTTAACTCAACTTTTTAAGGGCTTATGTTATTGCTTTTGGATTTTGCTTAGTTGTTAAGTTTTTCCTTTTATCTTTTTTATTCTAAAGCCATTATCTTTCCCTAACATTTGTTTATAAATCTCTACAATCATTCCCTTCTAAAACTTACGTCCGGTGGAATGAGATTCCCATCAATTTTTGTGTAGAAATACAGCGTTGTTGCCAAGCCATCAGTTCTCATTTTGTCAATCTGAAAAACATGGGTCGTTCTGGGAATTGATGATTGCTTTGGGATAAGAAAAGATTAAAGTTGCATTTCACTCATTTACTAATTATCATCTTTTTTTGGTTTGTTTTTGGTGCTACGGTTTTTATTTTTTGAACTTCTGGAGTAATTTTATATATATATATATATATATTGATTAATCTTTTCTTTTGATTGATCTTTTGATGATCTTGATTGATTGATATTCAGTTAATCCAAGTTTGAAACCATTGTCCACACTAGTTTGTCAGGGCCATTGTCCACACTAGTTGGTCAGGTTTATTGTCCACACTAGTTTAGTGTCAGGTCCATTGTCCACACTAGTTTAGTGTTAGGTCCATTGTCCACACTAGTTTGTCAGGTCCTATTGTCCCCACTAGTTTGTGTTAGGTCCATTGTCCACACTAGTTTATCAGATCCATTATCCACACTAGTTTAGTGTCAGGTCCTTTGTCAGGCCCATTGTCAGGTCCATAATCAGGTCCACTTATTTATGAAAACGATATTGATAGTGAGATTTGATAAGATAGCTCTTCTCGATAAGATAAAGTAAATGCTTTTTTGAGACTTTTCCTATCTTTTGTGAGCTCTTTTTTGTGTGTGATGAGTGTCACTTCGAGGATGGCTCTCATTTCTCACCCACCCATCGCTGTCCATCCCTATCCATCGCTATCCATCCCTATCCATTCCTATCCCCCAATTAGCTTCTTCTGAAAAGAAGGAGACGTGCTTACGACAAGTTGGAAAAGGAAAAGAAAGAGTGAAAAGAGAGAGGTGGAAGATCCATCTTGAGACAAATCCTCTAACATATCACCTCCTCTTTTCTTCAAATAAAAAAGGAGAAATTATTCTCTTCTCCTAGAAATTCGGTAAACAACGCAGCTTTTCACTACCTCACTTCGGTATCTTCATCGACAGGCTTTCAAAACAGTGAGTTTACAGAATTTGACGCGTTTGGGAAGATGAGAACTGGTTTTTCACTGTGATAGTACACCAGAAGTTTCACGTTTTTGAGTGAACAAGCGATCAAAATCAAATCAAAACATATCTAATCTCGTGTCGGTGACATTGCAACTGATCGCTTGCCATTTTTGAATCTTAAAGCCTGATTGCTACTCCCAATTAAGTCACTTTGTTGCACTTGTCTTCTAAACTGTTTCTGAAGTGCGAATGTATTTTGTGATTACTTTTTTTACTAGTTCTTTTTGCGTAAACCAAAGAAGAGACAAGGATTGACTAGGAAAAGAGACTAAAGAAGTGCCTTCTAGGCTTTTTCTTCTTTTCCTTATCCCTTGCCAACATCGATTGTGGGCAAAAAAAACGTGGAAAGGGACGATGGAAGAAGTGGCAATGGAAAAAGATTGGAAGACCAAGAAAAAAAAGACTCTTTTTTGGGAGAAAAGAATGGGAAGATCCATCTCTTTTTCCCTAAAGGCCTCAACAAGCCACAATGCATTGAAAGAAGGCAAAGAAGGCTGGGGAAGAGGCCTTTCTAAGTCTTTGTCTTGCCTTCAACCCTAGAAAAGCCTCCGAATCCCTTCTCGGGCAATATTTTTAAGAAATGATTGAAAGTTTCGTTTTTTTATGATGATTAAGAAGAGTTTTTCTTCTTCATAGAATATTCGGCTTTCTAGAACGTCTCAGCTCTCCTTAGCTTTATCATTTTTGAAGCATAGAACTCGTTCTTCTTTTAAAAGTCCAATCTCAGCCTTACGAGGGTCTTGTAAGGCTGAGATTGGACTTCCAATCTCAGCCTTACAAGCTCAGTCTTACAAGCTCTTAATTCAATTCTCACCTTGACATCCACATCACCAATTGGATGCTCATTGAAGAGCGATGCTTTTGTTAATTTATAATGAGCTGCTCGTGCTGCCAGTGCCCCATCACAAACCAATTTTTGCAATCGAACTTCAAGCTCTTCTTTTCTTTCTGTGATCTCATGAGTGGCCAATACTAAATGAAATTGTTCGTTATTATCCAATCTGAGCCAGCCTAAGCCTGAGCCTAAGCCTAAGCCTAATAATCCTAAGCCTAAGCCTAAGCCTAAGCTCTATTCTTTCAAAAACTTTCCCAGTACCAATTTGAGCCAAAAACGCGTTAGAAATTGGGGTGATCGTTGAGGGAAATTGTTGTTGTTTTCCCGTTTTCTCGATCTCCTTGGGAATCTCGATTTCATCATTTCTTTCTTGATCTAAAAATTTCTTTCTTTTCGTAAACCTTTTTCGTTCTCTATTGAAGTTTATTCAGTTTTCAGTTGTTCAGTTTTAGTATTCTTCTTTTCTCAAATTTTTGGTTTCAATGTGACCGCAACCGGAAATTGGCTACTTTCCCATTTTCGGAAAAAGAAATTCTCGATTTCGTCAAAATCTACGGGAAAATTTTGAAGCTTTTATTAGTGACTAAAACTCTTGGTGAGTCTCTAAATTCTCTTTTCCTTTTTATTTCTCAGTCAGTTGTTTATTTTTGCCTAATTCATCACGGGGATTACGCTGGAAAAGGCCATCCGGGAGGGCGTGTGGAATTTTGGAATTTGAGAAGTCAAGGCTAGTTGCTAAAAGAAGGCAAAGAAAGGGGGAGACATGTAGTACTCTCTTTGTCTGATCTTTGTTACTCTTGTTTATCCAATCAATCCCTAGGAGGCAAAGAAAGCATATTCAATCATCCCAAGCAAGTTCAATCATCCCCGGCTGTCCAGAAAGTCTTTTCGTTCGTTCCTTCTTACTTCGGACTTTGAAAAACAACTAATTTGCCAATTAGCCCATGGTTTACTAAATAATCAGTGTTTATTTTTCAATTAGGTTATAAGTTAATTGGTGAATTTGTTATTTTTCAATGGAAAAAGGAACGAAAAGACTCTCTGGACCGTTCTAATATCAAATTTTTAAGAAGTGCTCGATTACCTTTTTCTTTCTTTACCGTTTTGTTGCTAGTTTTGATGACTTACGGACTTGCAATAGCATTCAGAATCTAATAAAGTAATACTAACAAAGCTTAATAAACATTATTTTATGTTAGAATTAAAATTAAGTACCGTATGCATTTAAAGAAACTCAAAAAAAATGGTTAGCCGAAAAAATACCCACTAAATGCCAAACTTTCAGCAAAACTTTAGCCAAACTTTAGCCAAACTTTCAGCCAAACTTTCATGTGAAAGCTCAACATTTTGTATTCGGATTTTTAGGCTAACTAGCCAAGAGATGTTTTAGAGAAGTGTTTTAGAGAACCGTGCGAAATTGAGCCGCTTCTCTTTTCCTATAAATTGTTTGCAATCTTTCGGACTTCTCCAACAAATCCCCTCAACAATGTCCCGAATCTAACAATAAGAACATCGAGCAATTCATCCCCCATTTCCCCCCACTCCATCCAATATAACACCCTATTCCGATTGCTGACCAAATAATGGTTTCCTGACTAATTTATGGGTCGACAAACTCGCTTACTAAAGTATTATGACGAGTGCGAGTTTCTCCCGTATCAATTTCTATATGTAAGTTTTTGGAAATATAAAGAAATGAGCCAAAAATTCGAAATCAAGGTGATAAATTGATTTCGTATTGGATTGGTGAATTGAAAACTCCGGACTTTGAACTAAAATTTATTCAACATAAAACCATAAATTCATTCCAAATAATTTCCATTATTATTGACGACTTCTGCCCATTTTACAGGCAATTTGCGGATTCCTGTTTCGTAGTAGGATTTTGGTTTGTGTGTGAGACAAGTGTGAGACTCAAAAATGGAGGACCGGACTTTGAGAATCGAGGACTGGACTCCCAGTTTGAGCACTTTCTTCAAAAGAAACCCATTTTGGTGTCAATGGAAAAGTTGTAGAGAATCAAAAATTAGGCTTATAGCCAAGTTTCCAAAAAGATACACTCGGTAGTTTCGTTTAAGATGGAAGTTTTGTGAAAATTCGTAAATTTGGCATTTCTTCAAAAGCAGCTTTTGAATGGTTCTGAAAATTTGGATATAAGCATAATTTTTGATTCTCTACAACTTTTCTATTGACACCAAAATGGGTTTCTTTTGAAGAAAGTGCTCAAACTGTCACATATGACAATAGCCCGCAGTTTTCAATTCAACAACCCAATAGATTCAGATTAGCCTTGATCTCTGGAGAAGTCAATGTCCACGGACCAGACAGACTAGTTTAGCAAAGGGAAGGAGATTTGACGAAGACAGAGGGAAGGGGGTTATCTAAAAGCCCTGCGCCAGACGACGAGCGATTAGCCGCACAAAGACACACAGAACACAGAAATTTTAAGTGGAACTACTAAGTGTATCTTTTTGGAAATTTGGATATAAGCTTAATTTTTGATTCTCTACAACTTTTCCATTGACACCAAAATGGGTTTCTTTTGAAGAAAGTGCTCGAACTGTCACATATTACAATAGCCTGCAGTTTTCAATTCACCAACCCAATATTTTGTAAAGAAAACAACCGCTATTCTTTCAGTTTCTAAATTCGAAATTCCTTTTTTCTCTGCCCAATATTTCAATCTTTGTTCTCTTTAAAACGATCGCTGTTGAACATTGAATCTGAGCATCATTTTGCGGGGGGACGGATGCTCAAAATTGCTCATTTGAGCGTGCCTTTTTACAGCTTTTGCGGCACCACCCACTCTCCTTTTCTCCTAACACACATATTTTGCACACCAAAATTTTGACCACCACGGGACTAAAACTAGAGAAAACACTGAAAGGGATGCAAAATATTTGATGAATTTACCTGCTTCAATCGTTGAAGGTTCGATTAACGGAGATGGAGTTGGGAGTGGAGGGAAAACATCTGATTCATCTAAAAAAACCTCTACAAAGAAATTGGATCAATGAATTTCTCTGAAAATTTGGCTATATACTAAACTTTTTATGCTCTATCTTTTATCTATTGACACCAAAATAGGTTTCCTTGGCTAAAGTGTGTCTTTTCTAAAGCTAAAGTGTCCGCATCATCGAACCGTCGCCTTTTTGACTACCCGACTTTACACTCCCAAAAAAACCCAAACATAAGACATTTTAAACCCGTTTTAATGTTATTTTGTAGAAAAATAAGTGGCCTTTCTAATGAAATTGATGAAAAGTTCAATTGGTGCGTTTGGTTTTAAACAAATTGCGAAAAGGAACTAAAAGATTATCTAAACGTTGGACAAAATTTGCTGAATCAATTTCTAAGAAAATTTAGCTATATATTTAAATTATTAGTGTCTAATAGCCTAATAATATAATATATATATAATAATAATCATTATAAATGTATTTGAAGCCTCTTAATCTGCGAATTCTCTTGATCTGCGAATTCTCTTGATACCTTGGATACTCTCTGGTCTCTTCGTATCTCCAAATTTCCTCCATTCTTCATTTCTCCCCGGATCCGTTGGTGGTAAAGAAGTGACCGATTGATAGAGCATATTGAGCACCAAGCAAAAACATATTGAGTGGAGAAAAAGCGAATAGCGAAACATCTATGGAAACATGAGCCGAGACACGCACACCTGGAAAGGCATTCATTTGACAAAGAAATTTGCGTCTCGATTGACGTGAATGGGGATGGATCGAATGGATTGGACAATGAATGATTGAATTGACTACACTGACGATGATAATCTGTATTGATTCTGTGAATGTATCGAGGGGTGAGCTTTACTGTGAGTTATAGGATGTCATTTCTCTTGAGGCTACTTTGAGAAGTTCATTTAGCGCAATTTTTGTTCTAGTTCATCACTAGCGCCTTTTCTACTTATTTTTATGCTTTTTTAGAAGCTAACTTTACAATGCAAAGATTTAACTCCTTTCCAGAAGTCTTGAAACGTTTCTTCTCGTTTTCTACTTTTTTTTAGAAGTTCTTGATTATCAAGGGACCTGGGGGAGATTCAGGAAAAGAAATCCAGTGTTCTATTCAGTGTTCTAGAGCTCTAGAGCTCTAGAGCTTTCTACTTTCATTCCCTCGGGAATTTTCCCTTTTTTTTGCAGTCAGAAAAACATCGCTTATCGGCCGCGTCATCCCTCACTTTGTCTCAAAAGGACAGCCATTTTTGCATTTTTTTTGAACCATTTTTGCAAACTTTCTTTATTTTGAGTCAGTTTTTACTAATCGTCATATTTTGATTTTAAAAATTTACTTACTTTTACATAGTAGATGAGATCCGAAATCCAACGAGTTTAACACTGATTTGCTGAAATTTTTGATGCAAATTTGATTGAACTATTGAAGTAATTTGATTGAAATTAATCAGAAAAAGAAAAATAGAAGTTGGATTGAGATTTGCATAGATGTTTAAGGAAGATTTCATTAAGTAGTGAGCGATGAGGGCAATTTGGGTGTTCGAAACGATAATATTTTGGATTTAATCAATGTAAATATTTTGAATGTCAACTGTTTTACTAATAATTTAATAATAATTGATGAAAATTGAAAACAAAAGTTGAAATGGGTTTTGTTGAATGTCGATCCGTTCGTCGCAATGTCTCCCACCTACACAAAGTGGAAAAGAAAACGATCGGAAAAGAGAGATGGCGTTGCTATGGATCCGAGGTTTTCGCGGTGGTTGGAAAGGATAGGGAAATTGAAAAGAAATTAGAGAAAGGGAAAAGAAGATCGTCTTCTGGAAAAGGAAATCTTTTTGAAGAAAGGAATTGAAGACAAAATGGAAAATGAAGAAAAAGAAGAAGACAAGGAGATGGGATCAGAAAAGAGATAGTGAGTGAGAAGATTTTCCCTCTTCACCCGACGATCCACATTACTTTTTGGGCAGGATTTATCCATAAATGGTCAAAACCTTCTCGTAATCCGAAAGAGCTGCTACAAGTTGTCTTTTGGGCTTCTTTTTGGCTTTCTTTTGGCACTTTGGCTTTCGTTTGGCACTTTGGCTTTCTTTTGGCACTTTGGCTTTCTTTTGGCGCTTTGGCGCTTTGGCGTTTTAGCCTTCTTTGCCTTGATTAAGCTTTTGGAATGTTTAAACTATTAATCTTAAACAATGAATGGGATCGGGCGTTTATATTGTTATCGCTAATAGTTCATATTGCTATTGCTAATAGTTCATATTGTTATTGTTAATAGTCCATATTGCCAATAGTCCATATTGCCAATAGTTCATACTGCTAATACCTTCACTAGAATATCAGAATTGACCATATTCGACATATTTATATTCTAGTGCTTCCTTGAATTGGTTCAGATGACCTTTATCAAGTCTATCAGCATCCAAACACCAAGAATTCTAGGTCTAACCCTTTGAGAGAAAAAATGGCGGATCTTTCATAATCGGAAAGGATTGGAAATTTGAGCCTGACTCTGCAGCCATCTTTCATTCGGAAAGTTCCTTCTTTGAACCGATTGATGAAAAGGAGTTGAATAGGAGATCTTTGTGAGAATCGAGATTTCATCTAAGCTCACAAAGCATTGAGATTGGACTGCAGAAGGCTGAAATTGCAAAAGTTTCCTTTGGCGGACTTCATCTTCTGACTAAGAAGAGTTCTTGTTGATTGTTTTGGCTGTTTCTTTTCATCTAAAAACTAAGAATCTTTCAATTGCTTGTTTTTAAACAAACTTTTTATTTATTTGATTATCTATTAGATTGGTGAATAAGTCTTTTCATTTCTTTTCTTTCCTTTTCATTTCTTTTCATACTTCCGTTGAAAAATAACAAATTTATCAATTAACCTATGATAAACTCTAAATAAAAAGTGTTTATGGTTCAATTTCTTATCTCCAATTGATGCATTTGTTGGTTTTAAATCCGTTGGTTTTAAACGGAAGAACGAAAAGGAATGAAAAGACTTTCTAGAAAGCCTAATATAAAGCAAGAAGTGTATTGCAAATCAAAAATCGTTTTCACCGTTTCCCTTCCCATCTTTTGCCCATCCACCCTCTACCACCCGCTCCACCGATCCTCTATCTCACAAATCCATTTTACCCATCCTTTCCTAACCTTTCCTAACCCTTTCTCATTCCCCAATTCACCCCAATTCACCCCAATTCACCCCAATTCAACTCAACCGATTTTAGCGCCCAGAATCCAAGTTAGAGAAAAAAAAGAATGGGAAAAGTGAAGCTTTGGAAAGTGACGATAAAACGCAATTAGAGTCCCACACTAGCCTAAGCCTTTCGAAAATGGGGCTGGGATTGGGACGGAGCGGAGAGGATTCAAGAGAAAGGCGATGGATCCTGCCTTTCTCTTAGCTTTCAAGTTTTTGACCGTTATTGATATTGACCATAAAATTGATATTTCGTTGTTATATGTAGAATTTCTAAGACATTACTTTAGCATTATTTTAGATTAGAAATTTTTGAATGCAAATTCACGAAACAACATGCAGATTTCTGTTGTTTATAGCTTTTTATTTCGCTTTAAGCTTTGCGCATCACAGCTCAGCCAATTGAAACGAGTAATTCGTCAATTTATCGTTTTTTTTTGCTGACACCTTAAACCGATCCACTAATTATCCTTTATTCACCCCGAAAGCCACAATTCATCTCTTGAAAATCGTTGTTTTGTGTCAGCAATATCTCTCTAAAATTTCTTCATTTTGTCTCATTCCCTTGGGGAAATGAAACGAAAAAATGAAACGAGATTTTTGACCACAATGATTTCACATCAACTTCTTTTTCAATCTTTCATTTGTCTATTGGATATATCCTTTGCTAAAATGTTAAAAAGGCTAAATTTAGCTGTGCTTCTCGTGCTGATGCCGTTTGGGAATTCAACGGCTTCATTTGATTATCTTTTGCTTTTTGGAATAATTTGTAAAGTTGAAATTTTGATTTTTTTGAAATTGAAATTGAAATTTTGAAGGTTTCTTTGATGAATTTGCTTAAAATCAAATGCAAATGTAGATCAAATGCAATTTAGAACTAATTCTAAGCATTAGAAGTATTCTATTTTCTTGAAATAATGACTGTATATTATCCAGAAACAACCAGAAGCCAGAACATCCTTTTATTCATCCCGAAATCCACAATTCACCCCTTTAAAATCATTGTTTTGTTCGTTTTTCTTCATTAGCTTCGTTCCACCTTTCCAAACGTTTTGTTGAGATCAACTAATAGAGCAGAAGCAGATCAACTAATAAAGCCGAAGAATGATCAACGATCATCAATAGTTTAAGCTTGACTTTTTCTTTTCTTTTTCTGCTTTATTCAAGCTTTTTCTTATATAGTGTTCTTTTGGGGGCAAAAGAAGAAAGAGAGAAGGGCCCTTCGGGGCTTTTTCGAGTCTAAGGCGGAGAGACGAGGAGAAACAGTCGAATCGATAGAGATTGGAGAGTGAATGGGGGCAAAATGGAGAGAATTGCAAAAAGAAGAGAAAAGGGGGAAAGGGAGAGATCGACAAGCACAAGAGAAAGATGCACGAGTGCCGAATTCCGAAGAAGGGGCCCTCGAATCGAGACAGACTCCCTCCCCGCCTCACCCCTTCCCTCCACGTCTCGGGCCCCCCCTTCTCCTTCCATGCAAATCCATACCCTCTTTTTGCTTTCTTTTCTTCTTCTTCTTCTTCTTCTTCTTCTTCTTCTTCTTCCTTTTCTTCCCCTTCTTCCCCTTCTTCCTCTTCTTCCCCCTTCGGCCGGGGTTTTGTTTGTCGCTTGAATTTGGCCTTCTTCCCACTTTTCGTCTTTCAATGATCCGATCTTTATTTCTGGATCTCTATGAAGAGGCTACGGACTTTTCGAATCCACTTTTGAGTCGTAGAATTTTGATCTCTTTGTTTTCTCTTTACAAAACGCTTTGAATATCTTAATCTTCTTGTTTCTTGTCAAACTTTTTTCGTAAACTTTAACATTCTAAGCCTATCAGGATCCCTGAATTCGGTTTCGCTGGCTTTTTGTAATTTCAACTCTCTAGAGAAGTCATGCAACTCTCTAGGGACACATAGGAAATTGATCCTCATTCATTTTCTCAATGTCCGCAGTTCATAAGGAGAAATTCGGGAATCGCGGCCCGGGGAAGTGGAAAGAAACCCCGTGGGAATGTTGGAAAGCGCGGAGATGGGGAGGGATGGGAGGAGGATGGGTTTCTTCAAACATCAGACAGACTTCAGACTCTTTTCTGCGTCTACTTGAGAATCAAATATGAATAGAATGCTTAGCTTGCTGCGACAAATCGTTTGGTCTCGTATTTTGTTTGTAAATTGTCTTTATCACTTTGATTCGTTTACTACCAATGGTTAAAAGGGCAATAAATCTGCTGTAGATCCGCGCGACTGTTGTAAAAAGCTTGTTTGCGCAATAACAGTTAGCGTTTATCCAGAATAATAAAGCCGAATAAAAGAATCACAATCGATTTGTATACAAAAATGTAGACCAAATGAGAGGGAGCGAAAACAAAAGGTTATCGGGCCGCCCCTTTTGCCATTGGCAATCCAACTTTGAGCTCAAATATCTTGGAGTTGGTCTGTTCAATTTAAAAATTCTT